CATGAAGACAAGTAAGATGAAATGTATTCGTCTGTCACTTCCTGCGTGAGGCCCACTGTCAGTAATAATTCAGTTCCTCCTCAGTGAATATAAAAGCATCTCTGTCACCTTAAACTGTACATACAGTGTTGTAGCTGTGGCTCAAATGAAGCCTCGTGTATTATAGTAAATGTATCATGAAAACAATCACACACAGGGAACGATGAAAGTTGTACTCATTAACTAGAACTTATTGCCATCTAAGTCACTTTAATGTTCCTTTGTTTTATGTTTTCACCCCTTTTGTTTTGTGGGTGAAGGATGCAGTAAACATCACGTGATGCCTGTTTCCAGATCAGCAGAAAGTGGTGCAATGTGTGTACTTGCCTCGGGCGAATGAATGCATTTGGACTGTGAGATGTTTGTAAAGCAGAGGCTGTTAGACGACAGCATCCATCTGCCAAAACGACGTGACCAAGTACTACAGATTTTATCTTTTGCTGACCTGTGTAAGCTTTTTATTTTTGACACAGTCTCAGCAAACCTTCAGATTGTTTTCTGACTTTGATGGAGAAGTTGCTGCTCTGCTGCAGTAAAAAAGAGGCGGTGCACTTTATAATCCCTTTTCAAGCCTGGGTGGTGCACCTGTCTGCTACTCCTTTTGTTCCTGAGCGCTCTGAGAGAGCCACAGATGTACCCCTGTCCCCCTGAGGCACCAAGCAGCACCTTGTCACCACGAACTGTTTTCTTTTATCCTTGAACTTAAGCCGTTGTCAGGCTTGGATTCTTCCTCCTTGTACACCCTGTTCCAACACAGTTACAGACAATATGAGCTTTCAGAGGACGTGAAAGGCTTTTTAAAGTGTGTTTTATTCAGCCAGCCTTTTCTCCAGGCATTACAGTCGAGTGTTTATCCTCAACAGTCTGCAAAGAATCCATCGTCATCCGAGCACTGTTAGCCAAAACTGTGAATCGTCTTTGATCTCGTCCCTTTCTCACAGAGGGTTTTTTGCCCGGTGGATTTCATACTTTAAAGGATAATCTGGTTCAACTTGAGTTTTGTTTTTGTAGTTTTGGAAATCACTTCTATCAGTAGTGATATTACTGCACCAACCAAAGTTAGTCACTGGGAAGCCAAACGGGACAAGAACAAGCAGTCAAACGATCAGGCAGGTTGTAAACAAATTTATTTAAAAGGGAAAAAGAAAATGAAAGACAAAATGATTCCCAAGCTGTCCGTTACAAACAGCCAGCACAGTTTACAGACCGACTTTCTGGTTCAACTTTGACCCACAGTACTGTCTGTAGCTCTGGTTGAGGGTGAGAGGCTGTCAGCAGATAAACAGAGATCTGTGTGGGTACATGAGACCCTAAAAAAGAGGCTGGATCATGGGGAGTACCACCAGTTGGTCCAGGAGCTTCTCCTCCATCATGGATGTTTACAGGCATATCTAAAGATGATGACGTTACAGATCAGAAGCACAGAGAGTTGTTGACTAGAGATGATACACCGTCTCATGGCGGTCACTTCCTGTAAACCGGCAGGTTTTTAGAACGTTGCAGAACGGCACATTGCAAGGAGTCGTCTGTTTCATCGTGAATCTTTGGTCTGAACTGGGCTTAAAATGCATCTCAATGTCAGGAGTAAAGGGGGTCTTATTTACATTCGATCGTCTGACTGCTCATTCTTCTTGTCCTGCTGGTGACATCATCATAACTGACAGAAATGATGATGAAAGCTACAGAAACAGGACTCGTTACTTCCTTTAATGTGAAGTTTTCTTGAGGTTTTTCTCTGTATCTGCATCTCAAAGACACTCAAAACATCCGATCCATCATGTTCAGAGTTGAGCCCAACACGAGTCCTGACGTACTTGGCACTCTTTAGACATACATTCCCACTGTGGCATGTATTTCCCTACATGCCCAGCGCAGTAAACAGTCTGTCATTAATCTTCCTGAACGTAACCCGTTTGTCCTCGCAGCCCTTTTGCCTCACTGAACATTTGGATGGACGAAGCGTCAGCAGCCCTGTGTGGCCCACACACTGTGGTTCAGAGCCGTTCATTAGCTGTGGCAGCAGAGGAGGACCAGGGGACGCTCACTCTCTGCTTGTTTTTTACAGCTGGTTTATTTATTCCGCACATAAAGGAGCCTCTGAGCCTCCTGCTGCTGCTCCTGCTGCTGCTCCTGCTGCTGTTGAGGTGTTAAAAGAAAGTTCAGATCACAGAGAAGGAAATGTTTTCTTACCAACACCCGAGAGGCTCCGCTAATAAAGAGCTGTAGAGACACTCACTCCTCCTCAACTCCTCTTCCTCCAGCTCCTCTCCTCCTCACCTCCTCTTCATCCAGCTCCTCTCCTCCTCACCTCCTCTTCATCCAGCTCCTCTCCTCCTCACCTCCTCTTCATCCAGCTCCTCTCCTCCTCACCTCCTCTTCCTCCAACTCCTCTCCTCCTCACTTCCTTTACCTCTACCTCCTCTCCTCCTCAAACTACTCTCCTTCTCTCCTAGTCTTCCCCCTCCTCCTCACTTCCTCTTCCTCTTCCTCACCTCTTCTTCCTTCAACTCCTCTGCTCTTCGCTGCCTCCTAATCCTTTTTTCCTCACTTCCTCCTCCTCCAACTCCTCTACTCCTTACTTTCTCTTCTTCCAACTCCTTTCTTCCTCTCTTCTAGTCTTCTCCCTCCTCCTCTCCTCCTCACTTCCTCCTCTTCCAACTCCTCTCCTCACTTCCTCCAGCTCCTCTCTTCTCATCCTTTACTGTTTGTTTACTTTACTTGTTGACTTGTTTACTTTTATTTCCTCTTCTTGCATTTTGTCCTTTTGTTGTTTCCTCTCCTTATTTTGTCTCCTTTGCTTGTCCTTTTTCTTGTTTCCTTGTTTTGCTCACCTCCTCTTTCCTTCCCTCTTCTACCCTTGCCTCCTTTCCTTTTGTCTCCTCTTCTGTTTTTTTATCTCTCTTTATGTCTTCCTTCTTGTCTCCTTCCCTTGTTTTCTCTCCGCTCCTTTTCTTGTTTCCTGTCCACCCTTCTGCTCTCTCACTTATCTCTTCTTTCCTCCTCTCTCGTATCCTCGTATCATCTCCTTGTTCACTCTCCTCCTCTCTCCTCTCCACTCCTTATTTCCTCTCTTTGTCTCCTTTGCTCACATCTGCTCTCTTTTCCTTCCTCTCGTTTGTTTGTGTCCTCCTCTCCTCCTGTCCGGTTTTGTCTTCTTTTCTTCTCTCCTTACCTCTCTATTTCCTTTCCTCCCCTTGTTTCCTTTTGTTTTTCTTTCAACTCTCTTCATCTTCCTCCTCCTCCGTCTTTCACCATCTCCTCTCTTTGCTTCCTCTCCTTATCACCCCTTTCCTTTTCCCTCCCCTTACTTCTCTTCCTGTGTCCTTTCCTCTACCGCCTTCTTTCCTCTCTACATCTCTTTCCTTTTTTCCTGTCCTAATATCTCCTTCCCTCTTCTCTCCTTCCCATTTCTACTCTCCTCACCTCTTTTTATATACTTGTCTCCTCTCCTTGCTGCCCCTCCTCTCCTCTGCATTTCCTCACCTCTGCTCTTCTCTCCTTTCCTTCCTGTCCTTACCTTATGTCCTTGTTTCCTCCCCTTAGCTTTCCTCTGCTTGTTTCCTAATCTCATCTTTCCCTCCTTATCTTCTCTCCTACGTTTCCTTCCTGTTCGTGTTTCCTTACCTCATCTCTTTTACTCTGCTTACCTTTCCTTTTCCTCATCTCGTTGTTTCCTCCCTTTCCTCTCCTTGTATTCTCTCCTCCGTTCTCCTATCCTTATCTCCTTGTTTCCTCTCCTAACTTCTCACTCCCCTTTCCTCTCATGGTATTTACTCACCTGTTCTCCTTTTCTTATCTTCTTGTTTCCTCTCCGTATCTCTCCTCTGCTCTCCTTCTGTCCTCTCCTCTGTTCTCCTTTCCTTATCTCCTTGTTTCCTCTCCTAAGCTCTACTTTCCTCCTCTTCTCTGCTCCTTGTGTCCCCTCCTTGTTTCCTCTCCTATTTCCTTGCCCACTTTTTTAATATCCTTATCTCACCTTTTTTTGTCTCCTCTCTTCTTCTTTCCTCTCCTTGCTTTTTTGTCGTCTCCTCGTTTCCTTTCCTGTCCTTGCATCCTCTCCTTTGTTCTCTTCTCCCTGTCTTCGTGTTTCCTCTCCTTGTATTTTCTCAGCTGTTGTCCTCTCCTTATCTCCTTGTTTCCTCTCCATCTTTTCTTTCCTCCCCTTTTATCCTCTTCTCTGATCTCCTTTCCTTCTTTCCTCCTCTGTCCTGTCCCTTGTATCCCCTCCTTGTTTCCTCACCCACTTTTTTCCTATCCTTATCTCACCTTTTCTTGTTTCCTCTCTCCTGCCTCTCTTCTGCTTTCCTCACTTTCTTTGTATCCTCTCCTTGTTTCCTTTCCTCTCCTTCCCCTCTGATGTTTCCTTCTGTACAGGAACATCATCCCTCCTCTCCTGCCAAAGTGTATTTCATCCTTCCTTTCCTTCCATTCTTCCTCACCTCTGTGCATCACTCAGAGAAGAGGAGGAAGAAGAAGGAGACGAAGGAGAGGAGCTGAACGAGGACACATTTTGGGTCCCACAGCTCCGACAGCAGACTGTGATCACAGAATCAGTTCTGGCTGTTTGCAGCTCAGCGACAGCCTCAGACTCTTCTCCCCTCTCTCATCTACCCACAAGCACGAGGACTGTCACGCCGATGCACCAAAAACCCGACGTCCCCGGCGGCCAATCAGGAGATGGAAGTGTAGAGTAGTGGTAGTGCGGGGGGGGGGGGGGGGGGGGGGGGGGGGGGGGGGGGGGGGGGGGGGGGGGGGGGGGGGGGGGGGGGGGGTTAAACCTCATCAGACACACATGTGAGATTTAACAAAAACTTGAAATACATTTGTCTGTTTGTAAATTTTGATTTTTGTCTTTTTTCTTTTCCCCTTCCTCTCACCGCTTCTTGTTTCCATTCAAAATTTTTCCGTCTTGTTTTTTTTTTTGCTCCTAAATCTTCCCTCTGTTGCTTTTTTTGGGGCAGTGCTGAGATTTTTTTCTCCTTCTTGTGCTACAGCATAAACGCTGCTCATCCCTCTGGCCAATCACCATCAGTCTCGCTGATGTTTCCCCGCGCTGCTTTTTCTTCACATCATTCTGGTCTGTGAGCCAGTCTCCCTCTCTCTCTCTCTCTGTCTCTCTCTCTGTTGCTTTGCTTCCTTCATCCTCTGTCTGCTTCCCAGGTCTCAGCCGGACTAATAACGTGAGGAGCGAGTTCTCGGATCATTCTGGTTTTGGACTCGATCCTAGTTCAGACCGTGAAAGTGTGAGACTTTGTCATGTGAATGATTTGTCAGCAGCTAGAGGTCAAACTAGGAGCCAGGGACGATGATACCAACAATAATTAGTTCAGATTATCAGATTTCTGCCTCATCACTCTGCAGCTCTGCCTCACATCAGATAAAGAGTCAGACATTTGGAAGTAATTGCATCGGCTCTGGACCTGCAGTATGAAGCACTTCTAACATCCACCATATCTAACAATCCAACATCTGTGTCCCACTCACATACTGCACACTAATCCTGAGCAGGTTTTGAGTCCAAGTCAGAATTTAAACTTGTTTTGCAACAGTTAGGATGGAAAAGATTTCATTTTGCACAAAGTTCAGGAAGTTGCAAGAATGAAAGACTTCTGGTCACTAGTTTTGAGTCAAAGCAGTCCAAACATGCTGGATCCTACACTTCCCATAATGCAACTTGGTAGCATATTTGTTTTAGGCGACCAGCACTTCATCAGAACTGCTCGTCAGTTACCAGAGGTCAGTCCACACCTTTCTGATGTTGGATCATTTCTGTAACATTATGAAACCAATGATCCGACAGTCCGTCCCTCTGTGAGGAGGTGAGAAAGGATTTGAGCTGCTTCTTCGTTCTTTACACAAGTATTTCCATCACTTTTCATGTGAACAACCGAGGTCAACACTGTCGGCATTATTGTGTCTGCACCACAGGAACTAGGAACAGTCGTAGTTCTTAAGCTGCTTTCACACCGCCACGAGGTAACCGCCCTGACAACCCCTGCAAGAACGTGTCTCCTGAAAGCAAAGTGTTTTTAAAAGCAGCTTCGGTCCACAGCTGCGACGACAGGCAGGTGCTTCAGTGAACAGGCAGAAGAGCGAGCTAGCATGTAGCTGCAAACTGTAGCAGGACAACAAGATTTCTACATATTCGGACATTTTACCAGTCATCTGAGATTTGGTGGAAATGTTACCCCAGGATCCTCCATGTTGTCTTCTTCCTGCTTTCGTGATGTCCGCTATTTGATCAGCCAAAGCCAGACAGCAACCGCCAGAAGTTACACTCTGTGCAGCATCTGTGCACATTCATGTGGGCGGTAACCACTTTATACCCCTACCGCCGTACTCAAAACCACTTCCTCTCTGCCACCTTCCCCTCATTGAAATGACTGAGGGCGACAGGTTACCATGCGGCGATGTGAAAGCCCCATTAGAACACAGTCTTTAACCTCCTATTTCGGAGGCTGTACTCTCCCAGCACAAAAAGAACGAAAGAAGAGTGTCGTAAGTGTACGTTGATTGGTCGAACAACAGACAACACACGACACAAACAACAGCTTATAATGAAAAACAAGGAAGAAAACACAGACAAATGGACTGACAGTGAAGTCCAGGCTTTACCGAGCATAATCCAAGTTTAACAGGCGGCTTACGTCACTTACACACATTAAACACACATTAAGCACACGTTAAACATGGCTTAATAGAGACAGTGTCAAACACAAATCAGCTTCACTATAACTCGCAGCATTCACAGACAAACACTTGTCTTTATCTGGACACATTTTCCCCACAAATACAACATGCTAACATTATTAGCACAAGCCTATGGCATTTTACATTGTATAAATTAGCCTAGCAGCTAGCTGACTTTTTCCTCTACTCATATAAAACCAGAGACAACAGCAACATTTAACAAAGGTAACGTTACAAAATTCAGCTCCATTACAGCTCACATGGTTCACTGACAAAACAACTGTCTTATACTAAACACGTTTTCCAAACATATACAACATGCTAACTTTATTAGCACAAGTCTATGGCATTTTACATTGTATAAATTAGCCTAGCAGCTAGCAGAGTTTTCCTCTGCTCATATTTCAGCCAGGATAAATCACACACAGTGTGTGGAGGCTTTATTGTCTTCACAATTTATTGTTTCTTATCTGTGAAATTAAAGTAAATCAAAGCTTTGTTTCCACTGAGGGAAATGGTTTCTGCTTACAGAGACAGACAGGAGGTCTGTGTCACTGTGACACTGTGGAGTTACATTTCTAGGGAAGGGCACGTCAGGCTACAGTGTAGGGTACATGCTGTAGGTAAAGCGTCAATGATGCAGAAGTATACTTCTTGCTTAACCTGTTGTGTTAGTGTTGGCATGAGACAAGGAAATACCATCCAGGAAGTCTAACTGGAATAACAGGTCCATGTGTATGACACTGTAACACTGCACAGCAACTGCAATGTTAACTTCTTATGAAGAGTAAAGTGATCTCCATGTGCAGATTTGTTGGAGTTTCCCTTTAAAACAAATTGCAGATGGTGGTGAGATGAAAAAAAAAAAAAAGTCTGAATCAGTCATTTTCTGTTGGTACGAAATGCTTAATAATGACAAAAACATTATAATAACAATCAGTATATAATGTCTACAATTAGTATGAAGTATGAAGTTGGGACACAGATGATTTTTTTTATTGTTTTCTCAGATTAATTTGTTCTAAAGATGAATTCAATCCCTGGATGTAAGACAGTAGGATCAAACAAGAGTTGAGATGAAATATTTTTGGGGTGAAATATTTAAAGTGTGCCTAAAATGACAAGATAAATAATCCTGCACACACGCTCGGTGCCGTTTGACATTTTCCTGAAGGGAAATATTAATCTGTGAGTGTGTATTTATACCACTGGCAGAAATTAAATTTGTTTCAGTATATAGTTAATACATTTATGGAATGTATTAGTAGTCTCAGAAATAGCATTAAGAGCTAGCACGAAAATAGATAAAACCGCAGTTAAAGTATAACCTGAACCACTTCACAGATATATTGTATGTATGTTATTATTAAAAAACCATTTAGTTTTTGTTTTGAAGAAATTGCTTTATTAACATGTAAAAAAGAAAAGTATCATCTATGTTTTATATAATCAAGCTTTTTTTGTATTTTTATACTTGAAGAAAAGGATTCATAAGCATGTAACACATTTATTCTGTAAATTATTATTTTTCTGTGTTAAAGATTTTTTATTTTTTTCCTGCTGAACCATAGAAACGATCCATGATCACACTTTGTCGTATGAGACCAGTACAGCAGTGGGAGAGCGGGAGGTTCTCCAGACAAGCAGTATCTAAACGTACCACCACATTTATAAAAAGCACATTATCCTCCTTCCTCTAAAGACGATCACCTCACTGATAGGACGCCCCATTTTGTAGCTGTTTTCCTCTATTATAACCAATAGTGTACGTACACTGCACAGATTAAACTCTATTGATGGTTTCTTGATGAATGTGTGATTGTTCAAACCATTTGTGGATGTTCAAAAATGTATATAAACCCAAATGATATATTACAAAATTGATTTTGTGTGGACATTTTTTTAGACGGGAGAAAAAAAAAAATCCAAAATGGCATGCATACTGTATACATTCCTGGAAATCTGCACGCTGGGTCAACAGAGGTCAAATTTTCTTGTCAATAATTCTGTGTATACCTGTGAGTGTATGATAGAGTAAACAAAAATTGTACAGTAACATAGATTTTTGTATTATGTTGAAAATGGGTCGGTGAAGCCCCTTTTACTGTCAGAATAAAGAAAAAAAAGAGGATTATAATTCAAAGTATTGAGAAAGATATGGGGATGATATTGTATATCAACTACATACTGTTCCTCCAGTGTGAGAGTGATGCTTGCTGTGTGGGGTAAGTGTTGTTTGTGACTCGTGAAGAAGAATGATAATCTACTACAAAGTTCATATAACTAAAGACCAACTAAACCGTGCAAAACACAGCGCAACTTTGTGTATGGAAAGTAAAAAGTTGCTGCTTCGTGTGATAAAAATCAACCAAACAAAAAAAAGGTTGCTGCTTTTGTACGTTCCTGTTGTGTTTTTGTGACAATAAAGGTGACCCTCTTATACATGATGGTTGTGAACGCCTCTTCTGTGAATGGCCTCCAATGTTTCATCGCAGGGCTGCTAGCGATTTCTTGATTTACTGATTCATTGTTGGCTTTGAATAAATGTCCATCACGGAGTAGTCAAAAGGAAATGGTGGCTTTGTATATTTCTGCAAACAAAGAATACATTTATTACATTACTAGAGGCTAAGATCACTGAGTGATGATACCAGTGTTGGGTAAGGGTTACTTTAAAAGTAATCAAAGTACTTTACTGCATTACTTTTTAAAAAGTAACCAGTTACTTTACTGCGTTACTCCATGAGTAAAGTAACTCAAGCACTTTTAAAGTACTTTTGAGTATTCTACATTTCCTATTGGTCAATGGACCACAGGGCGCTAAGCCTACATTTTTTTGTCTCCAAAATTAAAGTTATGGACCACTTGCCCTTCACTGAGATCCAGTTCTCCCATCACAGCCGTCACTTTGACCAGTAGAAACACACAATGATCTGCTGCTGTAGACAACTGTATGACAACAACACCCCAGTGTTTTAATATTTCCTCCAGGGATGTTACCACACAGAGTAAAAGGAGGAAATGATGGTGTGAAACAGCAGAGGCACTTTGTCAACCCGCTGAGTTAACGTTACTGTCNCTCTAGCTAACGTTAGCTAAAGTTAGCCTAACGTTAGCTCCTAGCTGCGTTGTTCATCATGTCACCTTGTTTGCTGGGAGTTCATTAGCCTATTTTGTTCTAGTTTTGTACTTTGGTGATCGTACATCATTGTTAGCTGTTGTCCAAAGGGCTCTAGTTAAGCTAACGTTAACTTCTGGAGCTTAGCTTCATTAACTTATCTGTAATGGCAGAGATAACAAAGGTTGGCAAACGTTATGCTGAATGATTCAGTGTAAATACTGTAGCACCAAACTAACGGAGAGACACTCTTGGTAAAGATGGTAAAAAGGCCGTTATCCTTTTCTCATATTCTGAGCCAAAAACCTTAACTTCAGTGGCACTTTAACTTGTTGTCTTTGATGGTGACGGCAACCAGATGCGGTTCACAAGCGTACACTGTGACCTGTAAATTTTGGCTTGTAATTTAAGCTTTTCATCGACCTTCTCAACAATAAAATGATGAATATATCCCTCCAATGCGTAGTTTAGGCCCTTTTGGTTACTTCTCAATGACATCTGATCGTTATGTCTCCAAAAATCATCAGTTGCCTCCTGTGAAATGCCGTGTACTGTGACACCTGCCATAGCGCCGCTCACTGAATGTTGATAGTTTGTCAGACTGAGTCAGATTGAAATTATGATTTTAAAGTCAAACAAGTATTTTTCCACCTGTGGCGTAAAACACGCCAACCTTCTCTGAAAACTCTCAAACACGCCACTTAAGTACAAACCTTTAAATCCGAGCATCCTTACATCAGTTCATCGTCTAAAACATTGCGGGGCTGTAATGAGAACACAGTGCTGTAACCATCTTTAATAAATCATGAATGTTTCACCATTTAATCTGAGTGCAACACTTTTAGTCGTGTTGACTCTGAAGCCTCCCTGTGGACAGATAAATGTCACAGATTAGTTTAAAACTAACAGCGGCTAAAACTCAACAAATGTGCTCAATTAGATCTGAGCTGTGGAGTGATGAGGTCGGCTGGCGTTTATTTAGATTAGATGAAACTTTAATGATTCCTGAGGAGGTGAGCTGTTAGCAGAGTGGAGCCACAGACAGGTCCTCACAGACAGGAGACATGTCGACCTTTATAGCCAACGCTGATCAACAAAGACAATAAGGTTAATGTTTCTGTAAATGTCAGACTATTCCTGTACGGACGGTGATTTTAATTATGGACTGATCTATGTTTATTGGACTTTAAAGACTTAATTGAGCCTTAACAGAATAACAGCAGAGGTAAAGGAGCAACTTAACTTTTCATTTTAGCTTGAACACCTCCTTTTGACATCTTCCTCCTCTGCTCCTCTTCTCCTGCACATAACATCTGACTGTCACCTAGAGTTCACTTAACCTACACCTTGTGAATACACAGCGCTCCAGGTTCACTTTGCTCTTTGCCACTGCATTCAGCCCTCTAGATCACATGCTGTTGACCTGGGACGCTTGAAAAAACAGACGAAACCATATCGGCCTGTAACGCTTCCAAGGACACAGGACGAGGAGTAGTTTGGTCCACAGAAGATACTGCACGTCTCCAGATGTGGAACGTAGAACACATCAAACAGCAACAGTCTGCAGCACAGACACACTGAGGTTCTCCTCCAGTTTTAAGTTCACTGAAAGCGAGAGGCTTCATAACCACACTGCAGTGCCACGTCAAAACTATATCAATAACAAAGAGGACTGAGGCCCCATCAGAGCTGTAGTGTGACCACAAAGAGGTCTGAGTCCTCTTTGAAATAAACTGACAATGTGAACACAAAAAGAACTGAGTCCCTTTATCACCTGCCTGCAGAGCCGGAGAGCTGCTATAGTAGATGTGTTTTTATTCAGTCAGTCACTTCACAGTAGTGGGAGTAGTCAACCTTTGTTATCTCTGCCATTACAGATAAGTTAATGAAGCTAAGCTCCAGAAGTTAACGTTAGCTTAACTA